GAATATCAAGACCTTGAGGTCAAACAATGGCATAGAATTCTTTAATGCCAAATGTAATGAATTGTTAGCTACAATTGTTATTATACATCAAAGTAGTTATCCATATACTCCTCAACAAATGGTATAGTTGTAAGAAAATATGGGCATATTTTAGATGTTGCTAGGGCTCTAAAATTTAAAAGTGAGGTACCTCTCAAGTTCTGGAGTGAGTGTGTCAAGACTGCTGCATATTTGATCAACAGCCTACCAACAAAAGTAGTGCACGGAAAGACACCTTATGCAATGCTATATGAGAAGACAACTAGTCTGGACCATTTAAGGGTGTTTGGTTGCCAAAGTTATGCTTGTAATATACCTAAGGGGGATAAGTTTGCTCCCAAACATAAAGAGAGCAGTGTTTATTGAATACTCTAAGACACAAAAAGGGTACAAGTTGTATGACCTTGACATTCACACAATATTTTTCAGTACGGATGTAAAATTTCGGGAGTTTATCTTCCCTTTCAAACAAGCTTCTAGTGATGATGATGAAACATTATTTTTACGGCATGCAGTAGACCCATCTAATCCCAGCCTAAATTATACACCACCATTTGATCAACAGTGTGAGGAGGATCATCCTGACCACCCTTTGTGTAACACTCCGTAAATTTAAATTAGTTGTGGATGCATTAAATGAGTATTAACGTGACCTTTTAACATGTGAAGTCCTATCGGGATGAGTATGGGTGGAAACCGTTGTTTTGGAACCAAGACTAATAGTGAGGTGCATAAAATTTGATAGAATCGACTAAGTTTATGGGAGGTCTGTCTTATAGCCTTAGACAATGCAAGGCCATGAAAATTCACAGCCTTAGAAAGTGCAAGGCCATGAAAACTCACGGCCATAGACAATGCAAGGCCATAAAAACTTACGGCCATAGACAGTGCAAGGCACTATCTAGGGCATTAACCTCAGCGTCCCTGACAATGCAAGGCACTGTAGTTTTGGCGCCTTTGATGGCGCCTTGCATAGTTATTTTGGCGTCTTAGATGATGTCCCACACTGATGATGTTTATCCGAGCGACTTTTATTTCCTCTTCATTTTTTGAGGACATGTACACTTATTTAAACCCTACCTCGTCCCCCACAACTCAAACACGTAGCTTTGCTCAAGAAAAGGAAGCTCTCAAGAACCCAACTTCCCAAAGGTCCCTCCATCATCCAAGGAAGTTCTAACGATTATTCTAAGTTAATTTCAATTCTCCAACACCTTATTAATATGGATAAATCCTTTAAATCTTTAGATATTCAATCAAGACACCATTGTTGAGAAAAGAAACCCTAGAACTCGAATTCAAGAGGATTGAACTTCAAAAAGGTAATTCTTCTACTACCTAATCATTTATAGCTATGAATTGATGAGTTTTTGGAAGAATAGTAGATGGGTTTAATAAAGAGAATCATATATACTATTCTAGGGTTTTGGGTTGTTGACGTATGATTGTTGTAAGCATTTGGGTGATGAGAAATGGTATTAGTTACATCTATTTGGGATTGTAGAATCATCTAGAAGTAGTAGAATGAGAAGTTTGTGAAGAAAAGATCAATTACTGAGGGCTATGAGGCTTTACGCCCATAAGGTGTTTGATAAAATACCTAACTGACCAAAACATGAGAATTAGTGCTAACATTGGTTCATCTTGATATATATTGACATAGATTATCGTTGAAAGAGGCGACGGACATTGTGATACGCTTAAAAAGACCAGAGTCAAGGTATGTGAAGCTAGCTCTCTATGTTTGGGAATGATAATGATTCTCCATACACTATGTTTCTTTTACAACGTTACTAATTGCCTCAGAAATATATAGTTAAGCCTAGTTCCTTGAATAGTTTCGGCACTTTTATTCTTTAGCTTCATAACTCGTTCATGACCTTCATCTTGAACGTTGTGAGCTCAGTGTGTAATTAATATAGAATTGGGTTTGATGCCCATGAGTCTCAGTCTAGATTACTCAGCATGTCATAAATAGTTAAAGTTTCAGTTTTCATAATCATTTCATGTATACATGTCTCAGTCTAGTCCTATTCAGTATTCTAATATCATGTAACTCAGTGTGATTCAATATTTTAGTATCATGTATTGCAGTATTATTCTCAGTTCCTGAGTTTAAATCCTTAATGTTTAACACCTGTATTTGGTCCTGAGGCTGTAGTTTATGCTTTATGCATATTTGAGCCTGAGACCGTAGTTGATGCTTTATGTATTTTTGGGCCTAAGGCAGTAGTTATGTATACATATACTTGAGCCTGAGACCGTAGCTTGTGCACATATATATTGGGCCCGAGGCCGTAGTTTATTCAGATAAACAGATGGTTCATCATTCAGAAGAGGGAGTATTCATATCCTTACTTCCTTTGTTTAGTTCAGTTATCAGTTACCACTTATCATTTTAGTTATCAATTATGAGTTATAATTTCAGTTTCAGTTTCAGCTGTTGTCATATCAGTTATCAGTTCTCAATTATTAGCTCAGTTTTAGTTTCATAATTTATAGTTCTTTCTTATAGTTGCTTTACATACCAGTGCAATTCAAATGTACTGACGTCCCTTTTTCCCGAGGCCTGCATCTCACGATGTAGGTAATGATTTACAGGTTGACAATTCAGAGTGCTAGGAATCCCGTACCAGCTATTTGGTGATCCTCAGTTCTTTCGAGGAATTATAATACCTTAAGATCTTCAGTATTTTCAGACAGTCAGTGTTTTCAGTACTTCATTAGAGGCTTCATAGACTAGAGTAACAGTTAGACAGAGTCACGGGCTTTTCATGTTAAGCAATGTTTCCACATATATGTTTTAGACTTATATTAGTGCTTCTACATTTCATTTATATCATTCAGACTTTCCGTATATTATCATGTGCTAGTTTATCTTCCGCATTCAGTATGTTATGATATCATGTGGTGAGTCAGGCAGTTGGTTCGCTCGGTCACATGTAGTTAGGCATCGGGTGTCGTGTTACGTCCAGACCTAGGTTCGGGGAGTGACAAAGCTTGGTATCAGAGCCCTACATTCAAGTGTCCTAGGGAGTCTATGAAGCTATGTCCAGTGGAGTTTTCTTTATATATGTGTGTCGGCCTTGCATATAAATGGGTAACTGCCAAGATATTCAGGATTGTCTCATTTCTTTCAACTCTAGATCGTGCCAGAGGCTTAGAGCAATAGGTAACCTTCTCTTCTTATCGAATTTCACACATATCGAATGCCCAAGTGAAGGGCAGGAAAAACCCAAGGTCCTAGAATATATGATCGCCTATTGGGGTATAATTATGGAGTACAAGTTGGTAACAAATGAGACTTGAGAGGATATTGACTGTGGGATACAATCGATAGTAGTACATATTATAGCATAACCTTATTAGAAAATACAAAAGCAATTATCATATTTGATGGTTATCAGTTTACCTCAACTACCAGTTATACAGTCTTTCAGTTAGTAGGTTTATAGTTATTCAGTATGCTAATTATAAGTTATTCAGTTACCAGATCTCCAATTTTCAGTGTATCCAAAATTTGGTGACTTCTGAGTACAGAGTGATACCTATGGGTGACAAAAGAAAATGTAAGTAATAGTTTTTATAGTAAAATCTTTGCATGTTTTAGGTCTAGAGTAAGACTCAAGACTCGCCGAATGGTGTAGGAAGTGATTAATCAGATGATGGTATGTTCTGAAGGACAAGTTTGTGTATGGTAGTGTATCCGTATATGTTTTACCTCATAGAAAAAATATATTTTAATTCTAAAAAATGGAGCCACAGGTTGGATGATGGTAGTTCAGATGTTAGACCCCACGGTGTAACATGTTAAGAATCTAATTGCAATGGGCATGAACTATTCACCATAGTTTTGGACAAAAAGGAGCCTAAGGGCAAAATAAATAGGAGTCAGAAATAGTTGTTACTACCAAAGATGTGACATTCATATGATTCATGCATATGACTAAGAAGATATGATGTACGAAATGAGAATCAAGAGCAACCGACATTGAATTTCAGGGAATGATTTTATGTTGTTCAGATTTATTCAAATCAGAACGAGAAAGTGCCACGTTAGTAAGTTACTATAAGAAGCAGCTATTATTGTGAGATAAAGGATATATCAGTTCCCCTTTGGTTATGTGACTTAGTGTTTACCCCGAATGTTTATAGTCTGACGTGAATTTGAAGTGTATAGAAAGTTTGGTGTTAGATATTCCAATTTCGTTTAAGACAGATGAAATTTCCCTAATTGTGATCCATGTACATAGTACAAAAGAAAGATAGTGTGCGACCGTAGAATAGGGTCGGATAATGAGGGAAGTTAGGAATAACCTTATGCTTCTCTTTAGTTATTCAAAGCAGAATAAGAAAACATGATGCTAGTAGGTTGTTAGTAAAAGGATAGTAAGTAAGTTTTGAGTAGATACAACAAATTAGCAATTTCAACAGAGCTAGTAGAGCTACAATTTGATTTACTTAGTCAGGTTAACACTATTGAGTGGGTAACAGTTTGAAACACCGAACGCATGTTAGAACCTGAAGTGTTTAAGTTAAACCTGAAGTATAGTGATAGTGGGAAAAAATCAGCTAGTAATAAGAGAGCAAACTACAGAAGAATATCCTTTAAGAATTATCGAAAAAGGTCTCCTAGGATTGACAATGTGAGCAGAAGATTATGCTAAGGTGTACATTCAAGAGATCGTCCAATTTTATGGGACGACCAATTGCATGGGACTCCATTGTCCATCATTTCAGATTGTGGTGCTCAATTTTACAACAAACTTTTAGAAGTCCTTTCAGAAAGGATTAGACATACGAGTAAGCCTCATCACAGTTTTTCATCTTTAGATAGATGGCCAGGAAGAGCGCACTATTCAGAATCTTGACGATATGTCCTTGATTTTAAAGGTATTTGAGATGATCACATACCTCTCATTGAGTTTGTTAATAATAACAACTACCATTATAGTATCAAAATGGCACCGCACGAAGCTCTGTATGGGCGAAGGTGTAGATCGGCAATTGATATGTTCAAAGTTGGTGAGGCAGAGTTGTTGGGACTAGATTTGGTCTATCAGGCTGTGGAGGAAGTCAAATTGATTCCAAGAGCATTTGAATACGACTTAAAATTTCCAAAAGTGCTATTCGTATGTGCAGCGTAGAGACCTAGAGTTTCAAGTTAATGATTGGGTGTTTCTAAAAGTTTTGCCTATGAAAGGTGTTATAAGATTTGGGAAGAAAGTAAAGCCCAGTCCCAGATACATCGAGCCGTATAGGATCTTACCAAGGATCGGGCAAGTAGCTTATGAGGTAAGGTTGCCACCAGAATTGGCGACTGTACACCTAATATATCACGTGTCATGTTATGACATTCAAGTTAGAGTATTTAGATCTCATGTCATGACATTTATGTTTTCAGTATGTAGATCTCATGTTATAACATTCATGTCAGTTCAGCACTCTAACATTTGTACCAGTTTCGTATTCATATATCCATGTTAGTTCAACATTCACATATCCATGACAGACCAGTATTCATGTATATGTTTCATTTTATGCGTATTATGATGCCCCGTGAGGCTTGTGTTGTGCTCTGTTAGCTGGCAAGTGTTATGGAGAAATGTTGAAGATAATTAACCTTCTGATTCAGACCTTATATTATAATCTCCATGTCTTTCAGTATTCAGTAAGTTCAGTAGCCATTTAGTTTAGTACCTATTTAGTTCAGTATCTCAGCAGTTCAGTAATCGGTGTATTCATTCAGTTTAGTATGCACATGTTCATGACATTTCAGTGTTCACATGTTTCCATCAGTAATGTTTAAGGTCTAGAGTTTGTCGTAGTTATAATCAGGACAATCATTCGAGGATGAATGATCCCAAGGGGGAGATAATTTAACACTCCATAAATATGAATTAGTTGTGGATGCATTAAATGAGTATTAACGTGACCTTTTAATATGTGAAGTCCTATCGGGATGAGTATAGGTGAAAACCGTTGTTCTGGAATACAGACTGATAGTGAGGTGTATAAATTTTGATAGAATCGACTAAATTTATGGGAGATCTGTCTTAAAGCCTTAGACAGTGCAAGGCCATGAAAATTTTCAGCCTTAGATAGTGCAAGGCAATGAAAACTCACGGCCATAGACAGTGCAAGGACATAAAAACTCACAGCCACAAACAATGCAAGGCACTGTCCAGGGCATTAACCTCGGCGCCCCTGACAGTGCAAGGCACTGTCCAGGGCATCAAAGTCAGCGCCCCTAACAGTGCAAGGCACTGTAGTTTTGGCGCCTCAGATGGCGCCTTGCATAGTTATTTTGGCGCCTTAGATGATGTCCCACGCCGATGATCTTTATCCGAGCGACATTTATTTCCTCTTCATTTTTTGAGGACGTGTACACTTATTTAAACCCTACCTTGTCCCCCACAACTCAAACACATAACTTTGCTCAAGAAAAGGAAGCTTTCAAGAACCCAACTTCCCAAAGGTCCCTCCATCATCCAAGGAAGTTCTAACGATTATTCTAAGTTAATTTCAATTCTCCAACACCTTATTAATATTGGTAAATCCTTAGATATTCAATCGAGACACCATTATTGAGAAAAGAAACCCTAGAACTCGAATTCAAGAGGATTGAACTTCAAAAAGGTAATTCTTCTACTACCTAATCATTTATAGCTATGAATTGATGACTTTTTGGAAGAATGGCAGATGGGTTTAATAAAGAGAATCATATGTACTATGCTAGAGTTTTGGGTTGTTGACGTATGATTGTTGTAAGCATTTGGGTGATGAGAAATGGTATTAATTACATCTATTTGGGATTGTAGAATCACCTAGAAGTAGTAGAATGAGAAGTTTGTGAAGAAAAGATCAATTACTGATGGCTATAAGGCTTTACGCCCATAAGGTGTTTGATAAAATACCTAACTGACCAAAACATGAGAATTAGTGCTAACATTGGTTCATATTGATATATATTGACATAGATTATCATTGAAAGAGGCGACGAACATTGTGATACGCTTAAAAGGACCAAAGTCAAGGTATGTGAGGCTAACTCTCTATGTTTAGGAATGTTAATGATTCTCCCTACACTATATTTCTTTTACAACGTTACTAATTGCCTCAGAAATATATACTTAAGCCTAGTTCCTTGAATAGTTTCGGCACTTTTATTCTCTAGCTTCATAACTCGTTCATGACCTCCATTCTGAACGTTGTGAGCTCAGTGTGTAATCAATATAGAATTGGGTTTGATGCCCATGAGTCTCAGTCTAGATTACTTAGCATGTCATAAACAGTTAAAGTTTCAGTTTTCATAATCATTTCATGTATACATGTCTCAGTCTAGTCCTATTCAGTATTCTAATATCATGTAACTCAGTGTGATTCAATAATTTAGTATCATGTATTGCAGTATTATTCTCAGTTCCTGAGTTTAAATCCTTAATGTTGAACACCTGTATTTGGTCCTGAGGCTGTAGTTTATGCTTTATGCATGTTTAGGCATGAGACCGTAGTTGATGCTTTATGTATTTTTGGGCCTGAGGCAGTAGTTATGTATATGTATACTTGGGCTGAGACCGTAGCTTGTGCACATATATATTGGGCCCGAGGCCATAGTTTATTCAGATAAACAAGTGGTTCATCATTCAGAAGAGGGAGTATTCATATCCTTACTTTCTTTGTTCAGTTCAGTTATTAGTTACCACTTATCATTTCAGTTATCAATTATCAGTTATAATTCAGTTTCAGCTGTTATCATATCAGCTATCAGTTCTCAGTTATTAGCTCATTTTTAGTTTCATAATTTATAGTTCTTTCTTATAGTTGCTTTACATACTAGTGCAATTCAAATGTACTGACGTCCCTTTTTTCTGGGGTCTGCATCTCACGATGAAGGTAATGATTTACAGGTTGACAATTCAGAGTGCTAGGAATCTCGTACCAGCTATTTGGTGATCCCCAGTTCTTTCAAGGAATTATAATACCTTAAGATCTTCAGTATTTTCAGACAGTCAGTGTTTTCAGTACTTCATTAGAGGCTTCATAGACTAGAGTAACAGTTAGACAGAGTCATGGGCTTTTCATGTTAAGCAATGTTTCCACATATATGTTTCAGACTTATATTAGTGTTTCTACATTTAATTTATATCATTCAGACTTTCAGTATATCAGCATGTGCTAGTTTATCTTCCGCATTTAGTATGTTATGATATCACATGTTGATTCAGTCAGGCAGTTGGTTTGCTCAATCATATGTAGTTAGGCACTGGGTGTCGTGTTACGTCCAGGCCCAGGTTCGGGGCGTGACAAAGCTTGGTATCAGAGCCCTACACTCAAGTGTCCCAGGGAGTCTATGAAGTTGTGTCCAATGGAGTTTCCTTTATATATGTGTGTCAGCCTTGCATATAAATGGGTAACTGCCGATACATTCAAGATTGTCTCATTTCTTGCAACTCTAGAGCATGCCAGAGGCTTAGAGCAATAGGTAACCTTCTCTTCTTATCGAATTTCACACATATCGAATGCACAAGCGACGGGCAGGAAAAACCCAAGGTCCTAGAATATATGATCGCCTATTGGGGTATAATTATGGAGTACAAGGTGGTAAAAAATGAGACTTGAGAGGATATTGACTGTCGGATACAATCGATAGTAGTACATATTAGAGCATAACCTTATTAGAAAATACGAAAGCAATTATCATATTTTATGGTTATCAGTTTACCTCAACTACCAGTTATACAGTCTTTCAGTTAGCAGGTTTATAGTTATTCAGTACGCTAATTATCAGTTATTCAGTTATCAGATCTCCAATTTTCAGTGTATCCAAAATTTGGTGACTTCTGAGTACAGAGTGATACTTATGGGTGACAAAAGAAAATGTAAGTAATAGTTTTTATAGTAAAATCTTTGCATGTTTTAGGTCTAGAGTAAGACTCAAGACTCGCCGAATGGTGTAGGAAGTGATTAATCAGATGATGGTATATTCTGAAGGACAAGTTTGTGTATGGTAGTGTATCTGTATATGTTTTACCTCATAGAAAATTTTTATTTTAATTCTCAAAAATGGAGCCACAGGTTGGATGATGGTAGTTCAGATGTTAGACCCCACGGTGTAATATGTTAAGAATTTAATCGCAATGGGCATGAACTATTCACCATAGTTTTGGACAAAAAGGAGCCTAAGGGCAAAATAAATAGGAGTCGGAAATATTTGTCATTACCAAAGATGTCACGTTCGTATGATTCATGCATATGACTAAGAAGATATGATGTATGAAATGAGAATCAAGAGCAACCGACATTGAATTTCATGGAATGATTTTAAGTTGTTCAGATTTATTCAAATAAAAACGAGAAAGTACCACGTTAGTAAGTTACTATAGGAAGCATCTATTATTGTGAGATAAAGGATATATCAGTTCCCCTTTGATTATGTGACTAAGTGTTTACCCCGAATGTTTATAGTCTGACGTGATTTTGAAGTGTATAGAAAGTTTGGTGTTAGATATTACAATTTCGTTTAAAACAGATGAAATTTCCCTAAGTGTGATCCATGTACATAGTGCAAAAGAAAGATAGTGTGTGAACGTAGAATAGGGTCGGATAATGAGGGAAGTTAGGAATAACCTTATGCTTCACTTTAGTTATTCAAAGCAGAATAAGAAAACATGATGCTAGTATGTGGTTAGTAAAAGGATAGGAAGTAAGTTTTGAGTAGATACACAAATTAGCAATTTCAACAGAACTAGTACAGGTACAATTTGATTTACTTAGTCAGGTTAACACTAGTGAGTGGGTAACAGTTTGAAACACCGAACGCATGTTAGAACCGGAAGAGTTTAAGTTAAACCTGAAGTACAGTGATAGTAGGAAAAAATCAGCTAGTAGTAAGAGAGCAAACTATAGAAGAATATCCTTTAAGAATTATCAAAAAAGGTCTCCCCCAGGATTGACAATGTGAGCAGAAGATTATGCTAAGGTGTACATTCAAGAGATCGTCCAATTTCATGGGACGTCCAATTGCATGGGACTCCATTGTCCATCATTTCAGATTGTGGTGCTCAATTTTACAACAAACTTTTAGAAGTCCTTTCAGAAAGGATTAGACACACGAGTAAACCTCAGCACAGTTTTTCATACTTTAGATAGATGGCCAGGAAGAGCGCACTATTCAGAAACTTGACGGCATGTCCTTGATTTTAAAGGTATTTGGGATGATCACATACCTCTTATTGAGTTTGTTAATAATAACAACTACCATTATAGTATCAAAATGGCACCGCATGAAGCTCTATATGGACGAAGGTGTAGATCGCCAATTGATATGTTTGAAATTGGCGAGGTAGAGTTATTGGGACTAGATTTGGTCTATCAGGCTGTGGAGGAAGTCAAATTGATTCCAACAGCATTTGAATACGACTTAAAATTGCCAAAAGTCCTATTCGGATATGCAGCGTAGAGACCTAGAGTTTCAAGTTAATGATTGGGTGTTTATGAAAGTTTTGCCTATGAAATGTGTTATAAGATTTGGGAAGAATGGAAAACCCAGTACCAGATACATCGAGTCGTATAGGATCTTACTGGATCGGGCAAGTAGCTTATGAGGTAAAGTTGCCACCAGAATTGGCGACTGTACACCCAGTATATCACGTGTCATGTTATAACATTCAAGTTCGCGTATTTAGATCTCATGTCATGACATTTATGTTTTCAGTATGTAGATATCATGTTATAACATTCATGTCAGTTCAGTACTCAAACATTTGTGTCAGTTTCGTATTCATATATCCATGTTAATTCAACATTCACATATCCATGACAGACCAGTATTCACGTATATGTTTCATTTTATGCGTATTATGATGCCCCGTGAGGCTTGTGTTGTGCTCTGTTAGCTGGCAAGTGTTATGGAGAAATGTTGAAGATAACTAACCTTCTGATCCAGACCTTATATTATAATCTCCATGTCTTTCAGTATTCAGTAAGTTCATTAGCCATTTAGTTTAGTACCTATTTAGTTCAGTATCTCAGCAGTTCAGTAATCAGTGTATTCATTCAGTTTAGTATGAACGTGTTCATGACATTTCAGTGTTCACATGTTTCCATCAGTCATGTTTAAGGTCCAGAGTTTGTCGTAGTTACAATCAGGACAATCATTCGAGGACGAATGATCCCACGGGGAGATAATATATCACTCCATAAATATGAATTAGTTGTGGATGCATTAAATGAATATTAACGTGACCATTTAACATGTGAAGTCCTATCGGGATGAGTATAGGTGGAAATCGTTGTTTCGAAATACAGACCGATAGTGAGGTGCATAAAATTCGATAGAATCGACTAAGTTTATGGGAGATCCGTCTTATAGCCTTAGACAGTGCAAGGCCATGAAATATTCAGCCTTAGATAGTGCAAGGCAATGAAAACTCACGGCTATAGACAATGTAAGGTCATAAAAACTCACCACCACAGACAGTGCAAGGCACTGTCCAGGACATTAACCTCGGCGCCCCGGATAGTACAGTGCAAGGCACTGTCCAGGGCATTAAAGTCAGCGCCCCTTTAAATCCTTAGATATTTGATCGAGACACAATTATTGAGAAAAGAAACCCTAGAACTCAAATTCAAGAGGATTGAACTTCAAAAAGGTAATTGTTCTACTCCTTAATCATTTATAGCTATGAATTGATGAGTTTTTGGGAGAATTGTAGATAGGTTTAATAAAGAGAATCATATGAACTATGCTAGGGTTTTGGGTTGTTGACTTATGATTGTTGTAAGCATGTGGGTGATGAGAAATGATGTTAGTTACATGTATTTGGGATTGTAGAATCACCTAGAAGTAGTAGAATGAGAATTTTGTGAAGAAAAGATCAATTACTGAGGTCTATGAGGCTTTACGCTCATAACGTGTTTGATAAAATACCTAACTAACCAAAACATGAGAATTAATGCTAATATTGGTTCCTCTTGATATATATATTTACATAGATTATCGTTGAAAGAGGCGATGAACATTGTGATACGCTTAAAAGGACTAGAGTCAAGGTATGTAAGGCTAATTCTCTATGTTTGGGAATGTTAATGTTTCTCCCTACACTACGTTTCTTTTACAACATTACTAATTGCCTCAGAAATATATAGTTAAGCCTAGTTCCTTGAACAGTTTCGGAACTTTTATTCTCTAGCTTCATAACACGTTCATGACTTTCATTTTGAACGTTGTGAGCTCAGTGAGAAATCAATATAGACTTGGGTTTGATGCCCATGAGTCTTAGTCTAGATTACTCAGCATGTCATAAACAGTTAAAGTTTCAATTTTCTTAATCAGTTCATTAGTATATGTCTCAGTCCAGTACTATTCAGTATTCCAGTATCATGCAACTTAGTATGATTCAATATTTCAGTATGATATATGGCAGTACGATTCTTAGTTCCTGAATTTAAATCCCTGAATGTTGAACACCAGTATTTGGGCCTGAGGCCATAGTTTATGCGTTATACATGTTTGGGCCTGAGGCCATAGTTGATGATTTATGCATTTTTGGGCATGAGACCGTAGTTATGTATACGTATACTTGGGCCTGAGGCCGTAGCTTATGCACATATATATTGGGTCCGAGGCCGTAGTTTATTCAGATAAACATGTGGTTAATCATTCAGAAGAGGGAGTATTCATATCCTTACTTTCTTTGTTCGGTTCAGTTATTAGTTATCAGTTATCAGTTATAATTTCAGTTCGGTTTCAGTTGTTATCATATCAGTTATCAGTTCTCAGTTATTAACTCAATTTTAGTTTTATCATTTATAGTTCTTTCTTTCAGTTGCTTTACATACCAGTGCAATTCAAATGTACCGACGCCCGTTTTGCCAAGGGACTGCATCTCACGATGCAGGTAATGATTTACAGGTTGACAATTCAAAGCGCTAGGATTCTCATACCAGCTATTTGGTGATCCCCAGTTCTTTCGGGGAATTCTAATTACCTTACAGTCTTCAGTACGTATTTTCAGATATTCGGTGTTTTCAGTACTTTATTAGAGGCTTCATAGATTAGAGTAATAGTTAGACAGAGTCGTAGGATTTTCATGTTAAGCAATGTATCCACATATATGTTTCAGACTTATGTTAGTGTTTTCGCATTTTATTTATATCATTCAGGCTTTCCGTATATCAGCATGTGATAGTTTATCTTCCGTATTGAGTAAGTTATGATATCATATGTTGATTCAGTCAGCCAGTTGGTTCACTCGTTCACATGTCGTCAGGCACCAGGTACCGTATTTCGTCCAGGCCTAGGTTCGGGGCGTGACACTTTGACAGAAACTGGAGTTCAGAAGCAGACAATGAGTTCACTTAGCATCATCATGTTACTGAGGATCAGGAACCCACTGACTCTCAGGTGGAGGAATCTGCCTCTCCAACTCCAACTAATGACCTCCCTATCAGTGCACCACAAGCCTCTGACATCCCTCAAATCACTAAAAACACAAGACCTCATAGAAAAATAAAACAACCAATTTGGCTTAAGGACTATGTTACCACTAAACTACCAAGAAAACATATCTACCCCATGTCCAACCATTTGTCCTATAGTCACTTATCAGCTGCCTATCAAGCATATCTTCAAGCCTTTGCTTCTTCAATTGAGCGTACAAGAAAGTTGCAGCATATCATAATTGAGTGAATACTATGCAACAAGAGATTTAAGTCTTAGAAGACAATCATACATAGGACATTGTAGACCTACCACCTAATAAGTAAGCTATTGGGTCCAAATGGGTGTATAAAATCTAGTACAAAGCCAATGGTGAAGTTGGCAGATTTAAGGCTAGGTTAGTAGCCAAGGGGTACATACATCATGAGGGCTTAGATTACCATAAAATATTTTCCCTTGTAGCTATTGGTGTTGCAGCATCTAAAGGTTGGCCATTGTTTCAAATCGATGTAAATAATGCATTTTTGCAAGAGGACTTATGTGAGGAAGTTTATATGCAGCTTCCCGGGGATTTCACAGTCAAGGGGAGTCCAGCGTATGTCGAATGCTTAAATCCTTTTATGGCTTAAAGCATGCCTCAAGGCAGTGGAATATTAAGCTAACGCATGCACTACTGGAAAATGGCTTCATTCAAAGTTCTCATGACCATTCACTATTCACTAAGAGACATGGAGCATATATTTTAATTGTGTTGGTGTATATAGATGATCTTCTAATATTAGGAAGTAGCAGTAGCTTGATACATGAGGCAAATGAGACCTTACACAAAAACTTTAAGATGAAGGACCTAGGGGAACTTAGATATTTCCTAGGAATTAAGGTAATGAGATCCAACAAAGGCATTTTACTCAACCAGAGAAAATATGCATTGTATTTGATCTCAGAAGTTGGTTTGAGTGCATGCAAGCCAGTCTCAACACCAATGGAACAAAATCACAATCTTACCACAATCGACTATGATAAGCATGTTGGTAATGTCAATGATGCTGCAGGAAACTGGTAGCTATTGGAAGTTAATTGGCAAGCTGTTGTACTTGACAATTACAAGGCCAGACATATATTTTGCAGTCCAAGTGTTGAGCCAGTTCATGCAACATCCTAAGGAATCACATATGGAAGTAGCATTGAGGGTTGTCAAATATATTAAGGGAAGCCCAAGATTAGGAATTCTGTTGAAAAGTGGAAACACTAATAGTCTCACACCATACTGTGACTCAGATTGGGTAGCATGTCCAAACACTAGAAGATCAGTTACAAGTTATGTGGTGAAATTAGGAGATTCTCTGTTGTCTTGGAAGTCAAAGAAGCAGCAAACTGTTAGTATAAGTTCTGCAGAAGCAGAGTATAGAAGCATAGCAGTAGTTATGGTAGAGTTAATGTAGATGAAAGGTTTAGTGCAAGAATTGGGAAACTAAGTAGAAGTACCTATACACCTACATTGCGACAGTAAGACAGCCTTGCAGATTGCTGCAAATCCAAATTTCCATCCGAGAAAAAAAACACATAGAAATTGATTGCCACTTTGTACGAGAAAGGATCAAGGAAGGGATAATCACAACCAATTACATCCTCACAAAGTAGCAAATGGAAGACATGATGACAAAAGGTCTCGGAGCATCTCAACACACACTTTTCTTAGGCAAGCTTGGAGTGCTCGATGTCTTTCACCCTCCAACTTGAGGAGGAGTGTTGTAATAGAGGAAATGTTCTAGGGGTCAGCTTGTAATAACATAAAGTTAGAGTATTTAGTTTTTATAGTTAGTTAGAGGTCGTTAACATTGTTCTATATAAGAATTAACAGACTTGTACTCAATACACAGGAAATGAAAATATTCTTTCTATTCTCTCTCTAGAACCTTCTTCTAATTATAGATTCCTACTCTTGCATATAGCATTGATAGTGTTCCACACTGAATCTGAGTTAGTTGACAAAAAAATAGTATGGTATAAATTTTTCTATTGTCGAACCGAACCATTGCACCCCTGATACGAATGCTTCATTTCAGCTGTTATGTCTTCATGAGCAACATATGGACTTTCTGATGTGGCCAAACACTCCATAGACTGGAATTTCATGCTTCGGATGGTAGAATTAGACAATTATGTTTTGAGGGAGAATATAATTTGCTTATTTTTATTTTCTAAGAAGATTCAATATGTCAAAAAGTCACAATTTAAACTGCAATATCAGAAGTTTGAATTTTACTGCAGCTTGATTAAAACTTTATAAAGGTAACTTGGACAGGAATCTTATAAAAAAATTATATCGTCAAATTATTACCTTTTGCCTTCATGAATAACTTTCAAATATAGCATGTGAAAAAGGGTTCAGTAGAAAGTTAGTGAGAGAAAGTCCAACTTCTCTCTAGTTCCCACCATCAACAATTAAATGATTATTCCATCACCCAATCCAGCGAAATCTTCAATCCCTCCTAAACCTCCAGATATGCAAAACATCAACTCTACTACTGATCCTTTAATCTCCCCAAATATTTCGACACACAAACCCTCGTCTTCCTCCAAAGAAATACTGCTCGCGAGCCTACAACGTCAATTCCGAATATACCTCTATACTTTCGAAAATGGTCTAAGAATACCCCTCGTTATATTATTGGGTTATCTATACCTCTGCAGTCATACTTTGGGTTCAAATATACCCCTCATTTAAACGGAGGGACACGTGTAATCGTCCTATTGGCCACTTCTAAATATCTCCTAATTAATTAAAAAATAATTTTCTAAAGTAATTTTTTTTTTTTTGTAAAAACTGGAAAAAACTGATTTTTTTTTTTTTACTAAAAACTGAAAAAAATGAAATTTTATTTTTTTCTAGTTTTTACAAAAAAACTGCTTTTAAAAACACTGAAAAATATTTTCTAAAACAATATTTTTATAAAAATTGAAAAACAAAACTGAAAAGCAATTTTCTAAAGATATTAAAAACTGAAAAAAACTGAAATTCTTTAAACGTTGTTTTTTCAGTTTTTACAAAAATATTGCTTTAGAAAATTGCTTTTCAGTTTTGTTTTTTAGTTTTTACAAAAACAATTTCTTTAAAAATTATTTTTCAGTTTCTTTAAAGCAATATTTTTCTAAAAACTGGAAAAAAATATTTTTGATTTTTTCAGTTTTTAGTAAAAAAAGCATTCAATTTTTTTCAGTTTTTACAAAAATATTGCTTTAGAAAATTACTTTTCAATTTTTTTTTTCCAGTTTTTACAAAAATAATGTTTTAGAAAATATTTTTCAGTTTTTTTTAAAGCAGTTTTTTATAAAAATTGGAAAAAAAAAATATTTTCGTTTTTTCAGTTTTTAGTAAAAAAATTCAGTTTTTCCAGTTTTTACAAAAAAAAAAAATGCTTTAGAAAATTGCTTTTTAATTAATTAGGAGATATTTAGAAGTGACCAACAGGACGATGACACGTGTCCCTCCGTTTAAATGAGGGGTATATTTGAACCCAAAGTATGACTGCAGGGGTATAGATAACTCAATTGTATAACGAGGGGTATTCTTAGATCATTTTTAAAAGTACAAGGGTATATTTGACCCTTTGCCGTTTAATATATTGATGACGGCTGCAGCATTCTGAACAAGCAGATTTGTTAAACAAATATTTGAGATAGAGATATGGCCTAAAGCCTTAATCTTTTGACTGATTAAAGATTACTTAACTAACTTAAGCTTCTTGGACCATTTAAATTATTCATCTAGATTGAGTACAGATAGCAGCATTAATCAAGTTCTTGCTATTTCATCACCTAAAATAGTTCATCAACTGGTGATGTTGTGGCCATTTAGTGTGAGCAAAAGACATCAATTGGACATAGCAAAAATATTTCTTTGATATGCTAAATGAAAAGAATATTGGCAACATAAATGAAAACAGTACCGTTAATTAACCTGATAAGCTCAATATAAATAATTAAGATAAGAAATCAAAACCAATAAATAAATGCCTCTGAAAATTAAACTTTAGACTACTGAGAAAAAACCTAGAAAAACGTTAAAACCATGGTTAATAAAATGAAATTAGACTTTGATTTACTCACCTTTCGACTAAGGAGACAATTTAAATGGGATTTAATAAAATTAAATAGGTATAAAGGATGAGTCGGATTTCGGAGTGGGTCAAAAATAATTTTAGTGAGTCTCTTGCTATCTTTTAAATAGAAGAATTTAAAAAAAAATAAATTACTACATTAGCTCAAATGACTTGAATGTAGTGAGTGACCTTGTATGTAAAATGACAAAAATAAAGTGACTTTTGCCATACAAAACAAAGAAATGTCTTTCTTAGATAATTTACCACTAGTAAAACTTCATTTGAATTTATTCTTTTCGGGTGCACAAGGATATATTAGTTTGGAAAACTAATGTATTAGTGGAGACACTGATAAGTAAATGACATTGTTCTTAAAAGGTTTCAACGCTAATGTGGCTTGGAGCTCGTTTAATTTAAGAAAGGCCAAATATATACACAACCTTTTAAATTTGGCACAAAATTTTACTTAGACACCTCAACTAAAATTTGTACTAATTAACCACCTTGTTAGGATCGGGAACTCGAGTATTGCGAAATTTAGCCAAACAATGTTATAATGACAACAACAAAGACAATGCAAGTTGATAACGACAATTAAAGCATATAAAGAAGACACCAATTTAATATAGTTCAGTCAGTGTGACCTACGTCCACAAGTGGAGATAAGCAAATTCACTATAGCAACAAGAGCACAAAAGAGCTTACAAAATTAGAGTAAATACTCTAATTAATCCCAAATACCCCCGAGAGAATAATCTCACAAGATCACTCCAAAGAAAGGAGATCACACAAGTATTTTCCAACACTCAACTCTCTTACAAAATACTCTCAATTACTAAAGGAGGAGATGAAACAAGAAATGAAGACTCAAGTTTTGTTGGTGTGTTTAAAATGAACTAATGGTCTTTCCTTTTATAGGCAAAAAAGTCTTGGCCTCTTAGTTGTAAAAGAAAAGATACATCGTGTGCAAATGATATTCATCACACAATGCAATATTTTTGGGTCCCAAAGAATATATGGCAACAAAGTCTATTTTACAAATAGGCTTATGCTTATGTGAGATGGACTCCACTAGCCAAAATATTGGCCATAATTACAAATCTCCACCTTGGCCTAATTTTGGCTGATATAGTAAATTTGCTTCACTTTCTCCGCAAAAGCCTCAATGGGCGTATGACAAAATTTAATGCCATCAAAATTACACAAGTTGCCTGATACCGAAACTGTAGTGGGGCCTATAACAGTAGATCCCAATAAAGTATACAACGAACCAGATTTGTGTGCTTTCATGATCACAAGAGCACCTTGAAAAAATTTAAGAACTCCACCTTCGCCAGTAAATTTGCACCCAAGGGATTCTAAAGTTCTCAAAGAGATGAGATTTTTCTTCAACTCAGGAACATATCTAACATCGGTGAGAGTTCTCACCATACCATCGTGCATTCTGATTCGAATTGTACCTTTGCCAATAACGTTACAAGTAACATTGTTGCCCAGGTGGACAACCCCACCTTCAACTGAATCATATGTAGAAAACAAGTCCCTGCTAGGACACATATGATATGAACAACCGGAATCTAAAATTCACTCATTGTCTGATCTAAAACTAGTTTCAGTTGCTAAAAATATAGTTTCCTCAACCGGAATCCATTCTTTATGCTTTTCTTTATTTTTCAGTTTATAGCATTCAGAGATAATGTGACATTTCTTATAACAATAGCGACACTCTAAATTATTGTATCTGGATATGGAGTAAGATTTGCCCCTAACAAACAAAGCCAACTTCCGCTTGAGTTCCACTAGCCTCCCCAGTAATATCACTATCTATTTGTTCCTTTGATTTTAAGATAGATTTAATATCTTTATAAGAGATATTATCCTTTGCATAAATCATAGTATCTCATATATGCTTAAAAGATGGGGGTAGAGAACAATGCAATAACACATATTGATCCTCATCTTTAATTTCAGCATATATATTACTCAAATCCATAAGAATGGAATCAAAGATATAAAGATGAGAGAGAATAGAGGTACCATCACCCATACGAATTGTAAAAAGCCTCTGCTTCAGGTAAAGTCTATTTTCCACCGTCCTCTTCATGTATAAAGTTTTTAATTTTTCCCACATGCATTTGGCTGTGGTTTCTCTAAAAACTTAACGTAAAACCTCATTTGAGAGATTTAAGATGACCTGATTTTGCCTTTTTATCTATGACGGTAAACTCCTCGTCCGTCATTTTATCCGGCTTCTTCTTTCCTTGCAACGCCAAATCTAAGTCATCCTGAATTAGGATAGCTTCCATCTTTAATTGCCACATTCCGAAGTTTGCACTTCG